CACATTTTATTTATAAGCCACAACCGATCAATATCAAAAGTATTCCAGTCGTCCTTTGTAAATTCAGTTTATTGTAAGTACAAACCCCAATACTAACCTCGCCAGTCTCCACTTTAAAGTGAGTTATCTACAGGAGTGTAGTGCTGTAATACTTATCGGCCTGACCCCGATTGCAGCAAGTGCGAGTAAAATCTCGAATTAGAAATCACAAGCTCCTATTGGGTTAGTATTTATATTATGAGTTTGCGAACGATCCCAAGACGACGTACAATAAAGAGAACTTAAGTTATACCAACTCAATACTAACTCAAACCCAACTCAATACTAACCACTTCAAAATCGGTCTTTAGTTGAGTATGTGTAGATAAGAAGTCTTTATCTTCCCTTGGGGCACAACAATTAGATAGTATTGTAGTAGTGAGTATTCAGTAGTGAGTAATGATCAAATTGATCGAATTAGTATTGGATAGTGGTCTTTTGACAGCACTACACTAACTCAACTTAATATTAACTTAACTAAACCCAACCTAATCCAACTAAATTTGATATTGATCAGGTGTGGCTTATAAATAAAGATGCCGAGTTGTAAGGTTGTAAAATGAATCGAAGTATGAATGTGTTAGTATTAGATGTTTATCGAGTGATTTACTTGCTGGTTGGTTTGTGCTGGGTTTGGTGTAGTACAAGTAGTGATTCTGAAGAAGTTTGTGCGCATAGTGAGGAATACGTGTTATATAGCATCGATGAAGCAGTGGGCCAGGTCGTGCATTTGCTTGAGTTTCATATAATCCAAGAGAAGCGAATATGCGAAATCAAGAGCCATAACATACGCCAATGTCTTGGTCAAGTAATAGAATCAAAAGAGACTATCGACCAGGGGTTAAGCCAAACTGACAACGATTGTTTCGGCCCAATTATGAAAGAGTACGAACGTATAGTAGGTTACTCGCCATCTCTAGTGGCCAGAGAAGTACTAATACATAAAAGTGTCGTGATAATAGCTCATAAACTATTAAGCTACATAAAAGGCGGTCTCGATGGTAAGTGTGTATGTAACAAGAACCTTATTGGAATATCAAATATAGTAGCTCAAGTGTCAGAACTGAAAACGATTAAGCTTGATCATAGGACTCTAGAAACACAACTGAAATCAAGCGAACTTAAGCGAACAGCAACAGAGATAGAAGAAAAAATAGCCAAGATTGAAATCAAAGTAATCGACTTAGCCAAAGACTACGATCTCGATGCATTCTACATACGATGGAACGAAGTCGAGGACGACGAAGAAGAACTAACTCAATTACTGAAAAAGGACGGTCTTACAGCAATACTCGAACTACTCCAAAAATCGGAAGCAATGGCAAGGAGCAAAACATCTGATGATATGCGGGAACTAGTAGCTGGTGTAGAAGCAGCTATATACGCTATAAGGGCAAAAATACAGGAATTAGAGAGCGATGAGAAACCCACAAGTAACATTAGCAAATCACACTGGGCGATCTCCGAAACGATATCCCAACAGAAGAGACATAAAGACAAAAGGGCCCTAAAAATAGCTTATCTTAAGTCCCTAAAATCACAACTATTCAGCATAATGGACCAATTAAATAACTCCCAAGTAAGTTATCTTACAATTTGCAGTAAGGAATCAAATAGCATTCGATACGATCTATCAACTTGTGATTCCAATTATCTTAATCTTGGGTTAGATGGAGAAGGTTGTACAATTGATTTAACCGATGAGCAAGGAAGGCTTCTTAAGAAGTTGCAAAAAAGCTCATCATGCGAGGCTTCTGTCGCTGTTTGGAGATTGTTTGATGTCAACGAAGTTAATAATCCCCGAAAGTATGAACTATCTATTACTACACCAAAACATGACGATATGCTTTCCCTGTCCCTTCATTGGGACGAGAGTGAACTGCTAGATTTACTAGGTGCCCTAAAGAAGATCAGTAAAATCAGTCTCAATGTGAAATCTATCGAGATACGGTGTATGAGAGCCCCTGCTAGTTTGTTTGTCCTAGCCCAACTCTTAACAATGTTTGAAAACCCAACGTTGAGTGCTATGAACAGTCCTTTTGAGATTTGGATCGAAGCGATGTGTAGAGATATTCCTTCTTCTGTGCCATCGTTCGACAACGCTATAAAACGGCGGCGGTTCCGAAAGCAAATTGAGAAGATCGACAGATCGCGATACATTATCAACCTGACAGTTAATGGGCTCACAACAGCTATAAAGAAATTCGTTTGGCCACTAGTAACCCACTTCCCAACATCCCTTATAGATCTATACTACCCCAATATGGACAAGATAGACTTTCTTGATGACGTCAACTGGATAGACCAATTCACCCTCGGCTTAGAATTAGACTACCAAAAGGACACTATTGTTAGTTTAGGTGCCAGAACCGCGAAAGGTAAAGTTCTCCCAACTTGTAAATACCTAACCATCATCACACGCCAAGTCCCAGAATCTACCAACTTCTCGAAGGTTTATGTCGTCAACCTTGATGGATATCTACAACCCAAATCTTCTAATGAGACAGACAATGTCTTAACTACCAAAATATTATTAAGCATTGATGTTTTAGTATCCTATGCAGTCTTTGGTCTTAATCAAACAGTGAATACCCAGATTTTGCGTATAATGAATATTCCGCGCGATCACACTATTGATGATGTTGTCTCTCTTGGCCTAAATCTGATTAATTCCTACAACAACCAGGTTCAACGCAATAAGGTATCGATTAAGTTATGCCCACAACCACCTAAGGTTTTCAAACAGCTAAATCAATTCAATTACCAACTCTTGGCACCCAATAAGTCAAAACACAACTTTAACTTACTTACTGC